ACAGTGACTAGTAAGCGCTCCCGCGATCCACGGCAAAATGGTGCCGATGGACCGCGCATGCGCCAATAACCGGTAAAATGGCGGCCGTAGTATACCAGTCTATTACATGCAATGACTGGTAGACGCTTCCGCGATCCACGGCAAAATGGCGCCGACGGACCGCGCGTGCGCCAATAGCCGGCAAAATGGCGGCCGCGCCAAGCAGAATTGGCATTTAAAAATATAAAATAGCACTACAATGGATGTCCCTGCTGTAAGCCCTTTCTCCCTATGACTATGTGCTTTGCACGAAACGCGTCAGGGGGGCTACAGCAACTGGACATCTGACCACCGTTGGTGGCCATCCTGAACACATGGTCAGTACCTTCTTATTGTTATATCTTTGATTGTACCCACTATCTGGAATAAAGGTACCTTATACAGTATCACACTATGTGGTGTCTCATTGGGCTCTCCGTGTGAGTGCCATCATTCGCAGTGCCCATACAGCAAAATGATGACCCCAGGTGGTGATACATGCTAACGCGACCAGGGAATCCTGCACGCTGATGAGCCTGGACGGTGATTTATGGTGTGATCTGACCTGGAAACAGATGACCTACTTATTGCTGGATGACGCAGGATTTCATATTGCGTATTTCAAACGCACTTCTGGTGAGTGCGTATTTCATTCATTTTTGAATCACATCATCTATCACTCCTGGATCAGGACACCCGCACATCTGGAATTGTGATCCCTCAGGATCCACACGTTGTTATCACTTTGAACTATCTAGTCACTAATAATAATCACCATTAGGTGATATTCTCCTGCACTTGCTGATATTGTATCATACAGTATATGCCGTATATATTAATAATAATTTTAGCGCTGCACCTATTTACTGTGATATATGGTGTGACAGCATGTATCACACATTTCTTAAAAGTCAGAAATGTATGATACATGCTGTCACACCAGACAGGGATATGACAGAATTAAAATATGGTAAAATTCTTCAAAAAGCAAGGCTTCTTTAAGTTCTTACGTAATGTAAGGTAATCTCATAAAAATAAAAGAAAAACAGTCCAAGAAACAAATTTACAGAAAACAATATAGCAAAAAATAGACAACCAACAGCAACCATAAAATAAATGGTATGTGGTTCTGGCAAAGTCCAGTTCAATTCAGTGTATACCTGAGCTATAGTAGCAGAATCACTGACCCTCAGAGTTGACTTTTAGCATTTGTGATTATTTTCTATGCAAAAGTGGGAGCTCTAGCTGCAAATTGCAGCAGATTTGTAGACCTTCTAGAGGGTGTCCCCCATCCAATGAAAAGAGCTTAGGGGTGTGAGATAGGGGGGCTGAAGCAATATTTTTAGTAGACCCTCCCACAGTTTCATTTTTTTTTACCTTTATCAATATTTCATATGACTTAATGCTACAGTTTGATAACCTGAACATTATTGCACAGAACAAAATCCCAATTTGCTAGACAAGGATATGGTATGGATTAAATTCTGAATCTCCTTATCTTAAGGAATATGTCTAATCTTTTTCCTGCACCTTGCAATATAGGGTTATTTAATCTTAAAATAATGGCAGTTCTTTTATACTCATTATATTGGGATGTTTGTTATTGGCATCATTTTATAATATCAGGGTTTGTGCATAGATTTTAGGCCTGGCAATTACAAACCAGTAAATAAGAATTTGGACTGTGGTTCACTGGTCTGCTAAAAGAGTTATGAAATGCCATAAAGCCTCTGCTAATGGAGGCTTACAATGCAGTTAGGAGGCTGTTGGCTTGAAGGATATTTTGCAAATGGGTTTAATTACTTGGCCCTGGATTGTTTCACAGAAACTGTGAACTGGAATGTTTAATGACCAATGTTACAATATGATCATTGAAGGGTATCTGGTTATCAGTGTTATGCTTGCCAGACTTTGCTAAGTTCTGCTCCTCATAGCCATTAGCAACTTATGATGGTTGTGCATATCTGCTAAACCACTAAACCAAACTCCCTGCCCTGCTTGAGCTGTCTCAATCCAATGCAATGATACTGCTAGGATTTTACCATCTTCAGTAAAGAAATTTAATGTGATTTATTACAAATTTCTTGCATTTAAAGTTGAACTGTTCACAGCCACAATTTGGGAGCTGAATTATGAATTTTTGAAAATAGCAATGGTGGCACTTTGTTCAGTATTACGTCCCATCTTTTTACTCAGTTTGGAGTTCTTCAGATCACGTTATTGTCACAGAAAGAAACACTGAAAATTTATAGTGTTGACACATTGATAACTTAAAGCCATGAATAAGCCAATAGATTCATTAGTTAAGCAATGCTAAACACCTCAAATTACTCATATACCACAGGGCTCAACAATTCCCAGGCGCCAGGTCGCCATGGTGACCAGAAACCACATCCTGGTGCCTGGGCCCTCATCAGCCCACACTGCTCTGTTGTCCCCGACTTCACATCCTCGGGCGGCACCTCTCCCCTGCTCCACAGAGTAGAACTCAGCATTCTGGGACCCTCAGAGTCTCCCCCATCCCTCCCCATGCACAGAGTCCAGATGGAAAACAGAGCTGCACAGCTCCATGAAAGCCAGCCCCCTGGAGAACACCGCAGGCCTCCCCCTCCAGAGCCTATGGAATGGAGGATGCGGCCTCCTGCACCGACCACCCCTGTCCACACCACGGAGCCCATCAATACCGCCTTCAACTGCAGCTGTGCTCTCTGAAAGAGGACCAGAGCCACCAGGGCCACCAAGTTCCGCCACCTGTGCGATAGTGCACAGCCCCCCTCCAGCACAGCGCTGACTCCCCCAACCGAACATAACAACCAGGCGGACATCTGGAGGAGCCACTGCAAGACAGGTGAGAGCTGTCCCGCTGACCTCATCCTGTACATCTGTCCCCCACCTGTCCTTCTGCTGCCCCTCACCTGTCTCACTGCACCCCACCTGTCCTGCTTCTCCACACTTGTCCTGCTGCACCCCACCTGTCTTACTGCACCCCTACTGTGATGCTGTCCCCCGCCTCTACCTGTCCCCCTCCTGTGATGCTGCCCCCCATCTGTTCCACTGTCCCTCACCACTTCTGCTGCCCCTCTCATATGACACTGCCCCCCCTCATGTGACACTGCCCCCCACCTGTCTTGCTGCTCCTTCCTGTGATACTGCTGCCCACCTGTGATGCTGTCCCCAGCCTATCCTGCTGCCCCCCTCCTGTGATGCTGCCGTCCTATTGCCCCCTCTCATGACATTTCCTCCCCCTGTCCCGCTGCCTCCCTCTTGTCCCACTGGCTCCCACCGGTCTTGCTGCCTCCCTTCCTGTGATATTTTCCTCCCCATCCCACTGCCTTCCTTCTGTCCTGCTGCCTCCCTTCCTGTGACACTGCCCCCCATCCCGCTGCATTCCTCCTGTCCTGCTGCCCCCCTCCTGTCCCTCTACTCCCCTCATCCTGCTGCCCCTCTCCTGTCTCACTGCACCCCTTCTGTGATGCTGCCCCCCTCCTGTCATGCCGCCCCCATCTGGCTCCTAACTTTTTTAGCTAACTCCTAGATTCAAAGCAAATTTGTCAAGCCCCGATATACCGTATATACTAGTATTTTCTTATACTTTTAAATTGCTAACCTTCAGATTTCAGAACATTAGTCTCACAAAAAATATTTTCACTTTTTTTCCTCTAATGCCATCTATTTGTCTGTGAATACGTGCAAAAATTGCAAACCAAGACCATAATGCTTGAACTTCATTGAAGTCTACAGGAGCAGAGTCTTGTAATTTTTTCTGACCTTCTTCTTCCAATTTGTTAAAAAGGGCATGAGTAGCTGGACACTACCATGTACTAATGCAAAAAAAAAATGTTCCTCAGTGAGTCTTTTAATAAGGCTTAGAACACAACATTAAACTACACAATTACTTTATCTAACATGCTTGAAGGATTCCTTAAACTTGAAGTGACAGATCTGTAGGATGTACTCCAACAAAACAAAAAAAAAATCCAATAAACAACAGTTCTGATCCTTGGTCTGCTTCTGTCAGTAAACAAAGTAGTGGAAGATCCCAGGTGATATCACTGACCAAATATGATCATGACTATATTTAACCAATGACACCAGTCAGCATCCCATAATATGAAAAAAAAAAATATATATATATACACATTGATTTTGTGATTATAAACCTGCCTGTTGTCTTTCCGTGAAACTGCAGCCCATAAAATCACCTCATATACTGTAGTGTGAATGGATTGAACAATTTTTGTGCCTTTTTTTCAGTAAAACTATACATTCTAATTTATTTCTTGAATAAAGTCTGCCTGGTTTCTGTCTCTTACACTGTGGCTTACTAAAGCTGCTTAAGTAGTGTACATAAAATGTGTTCAATATTTCTGTCTTTTTTTGTGTGGAATAATACACTGCCATTTTGATTTCTTAATTATAAACCTAAAGAGTTTTTCTTTCTTTAACCACTCACCTACAGGGCACTTATACCCCCTTCCTGCCCAGGCCAATTTTCAGCTTTCAGCGCTGTCACATGAATGACAATTGCGCGGTCATGCAACACTGTACCCATATGAAATTTTATCATTTTTTTATGACAGAGATTTATTTTGGTGGTATTTAATCACCTCTGGGTTTTTAATTTTTTCTTAAACAAACCAAAAACCACTGAAATGTTTGAAAAAAACGTTTTTTTTCTTAGTTTTTGTTATAAAATTTTGTAAATAAGTGATTTTTCTCCTTCACTGATGTGCTCTAATGAGGCTGCAGTGATGTGCACTGATATGCTGCACTGATGGACAGTGATAGGTGGCACTGATAGGCACTGATGAGGAGGCACTGGTAGGTGGCACTGATGGGCATTGACAGGCATCACTGATGGGCACTGAAAGGCAACACTGATATATGGCACTGATAGGTGACACTGCTAGGCGGCACTGACTGGCACTTTTAGGTGGCACTGATAGACAGCACTGACGGCACTGATAGGCAGCACTGCCTTGCACTGATAGGCAGCACTGACTGGCACTGATAGGTGGCACTGATTGGCAGCACTGATGAGTGGCACTGACTTGCACTGATGGGTGAGACTGAAAGGCAGCTCAGATGGCCACTGATTTGTGGCATTGATGTGCACTGGTAGGCACTGCTATGTGGCATTGATGTGGCACTGATGGGCACTGGCAGGTGGCATGGATGAGCACTGAGAGCTGGCACTGATGGACACTGACAGGTGGCACTGCTGGGGCTACACTGATCATCAGGGCACACTGATCATCAGTTCCCTGATGATCAGTGTACTTGTCCCCTCTGAGGAATGCCGATTACCGGCTCTCCTCTCCTCATGATAACCGGCATTTCCCTGTTTACATGTGATCAGCTGTGATTGGACACAGCTGATCACATGACTGAGCCGACATCTTCAGCTCTTTCCGTGGATCGGTGATCCACTGTGGCACCGCTGATCACCGCGCTGCACGCTCCCGGAGCCGCGCATGCGTGGCGAGAATGGGAGGACGTCATATGACGTTAAATATAGTGCGTCAGGCAGTTTTTCTTGACAGCCTGTTCAAGAGGTGCCTTTATTGACCCAGCATCTCAATGCATCTTTTCAACTCACTCCCCAAAATTGTTAAAAATACTTTGCAGCCAAAACACTGCATACCCTCACCCCAGGATGTTAAAATTCAGCTTTTTTTACACTGCTTCACTGAATGCTTGCACGGACCTGACATGTGCTGCACTGCAGATCAGTATCTGAAGTGCATGTTGGGTCACCTCCAGCCAGTGCCCCAGCCTTGAGAGCCAATGGTTCATGAAATTGATCTTTAAAACAATGTACCCCAAAAAAAATGCACCCCTGGTTATTAAAATACATATTTTGTAGTCACAAATTCAGCCTGCATTGTTGAAGGCCTGCTCTGATAAGACACATAAAGCAGGACAGGCTGGCTACTACCTTCAGAACATGCTGGGCCATCTCCAGCCAATGGTTCTGAGTTGGTACCAAATAGTTTATGGATATGATTCCTTGTTACTAGTTTATCAATGGCATTGCTGTTCTCCAGCAAAGAGACAGCCGTCTACCAAAGAGACAGCTCAACCAGCAGAGACAGCCTGCCCAGCAAAGAGACAGCCCAGTCCAGCAAACAGACAGCCCATCAAGCAAAGAGACAGCCCATCCAGCAAAGAGCCAGCTTAACCAGAAAAAAAGACAGTCCATCCAGCAAAGAGACAGCCCATCCAGCAAAAAGACAGCCCACCCAGCAAAGAGACATCCCCATATAGCAAAGAGACATCCCAATCCACAAAGAGATGGGATGTCTCTTTGCTGGACAGGAATGTCTCTTTGCTGGATGGGGATGTCACTTCTTCCACTGGGCTGTCTCTGCCGGATTGGGATGTCTCTTTGCTGGACCCAACTGAGCAAAGAGACAGCCCAGTCCAGCAAAGAGACATCACTGTCCAGCAAAGAGACAGCCCGTCCAGCAAGGAGACGGCCCATCCAGCAAGGAGACGGCCCATCCAGCAAGGAGACGGCCCTTCCAGCAAAGAGACGGCCCTTCCAGCAAAGAGACGGCCCTTCCAGCAAAGAGACAGCCTGTTGAGCAAAGAGACAGCCCATTGAGCAAAGAGACAGCCCATTGAGCAAAGAGACAGCCCACCCAGCAAAGAGAAAGCCCATCCTGCAAAGCGAAAGCCCACCCAGCAAAGATAAAGCCCATCCAGCAAAGAGCCAGATCAAACCAGCAAAGAGACAGATCAATCAACAAAGACACAGCCCATCCAGCAAAGAGACAGCCCATCCAGCAAAAACATAGCTCAACCAGGAAAAAGACAGTCCGTCCAGCAAAGAGACAGCCCGTCCAGCAAAGAGACAGCCCAATCCAATGCCACTACAAACCTGTCACAGTGTGCCCGCCAGTGAAGAAGAGAGGCCTCCGTTGTCCATTCAGGGAGGCTGTGTGCAGTTTCTGGCCGAGGAGGTGTCTGTGTGTCCTTGGTGGCTGCTTCCTGCTCTTCACTGGAACCGTCAATGCTGCTCCTCCTGTCTGCCCTGCTTTAGGCATAACAGCACAGTGGGAGGTGAGCGCTATCACAGACTGTGTTAGCCCTGTCCAGGCTGTGGTCACTGCTAACCTGCTGTGTGGCTGGTCATCAACAGGCCACTCTTCTAAAGCCCGGTGACCCCAGCCCTCCAGGCAAATGCCCAGTGTGCCCTATGGTCAGTCTGGGCATGGTCATTATATTACTTGAATAAGAATCCCTAATTGTGTCCTGTCTGTGCTTCAAAAAAATGCATTTATAAAAACAGAAAACTAAAGCAGCGACCACATCTAAAAGATTGGTAGTATATTACATTTTGTTTTGGGGTTAAGATATGTGTTAACCCTTTACCTTCCTTGTCCTGCACATTAAATCGCTCATCTGCACCCTGCCACTGTACAGTGTACATTAACTCCTTCACCTACTCATCTTTCTTTATGTGACCTGATGTGCTGTATCTAGTGCACCATTACCAAGCCACATGTTTGAATATTTTCAATACCAGCATGTTTCTTTTAACAAAACATTCAGACAAACAATGAGATCACCTTGTGGTGACTACTTTCTAAAAAGCAGTAATTTCTTGGGAGCTCATACTGATCTGGCATTTTTACATTAGTAAAGTAAGGGAAACAGTTTTATTTAAAATTTTGGTCTCTCCCTTATGAAATAACACTAAAAAAGCTTTTAAAATTAAAAAAAATTTGGGTACAGTGTTGCATGATAGTGTTATTGTCAATCAAACTATCACAGCACTGTAAACTGGAAATATAAGTTTATATGATTGAAGGGCCACTGACCCCCCCCACACACTATTTTCGGATTGTTTTTTTTTGGGGGGGGGGGGGGGGGTTAAAGTACCAGTGACTGCCAATGATGGGGGAGGGGGGAGGGGAATTTCAATATTTTACTGCCCACCACTGATTGTGGTATTCTTTAGTTGGGGTGGGGTTATTTACCACAGACCACCAATAATTGTGGGATTATTTTCTTATTTTGTAGGGGGGTTAAAGTGTTTGGGGTTTATGAATGACATCTAGCCATTGCACACAACTCAATTTGAGTGCAATCGCAATTTCATCCTCCAAGGAAGTTTCTTCGATTAATAGCAGCAGACTTGCACTTGACTTCAGTGGGAGATCTTTAAAGGCTAAGCGCACCTTAACCACATCAGTACCTTCATATTTCTTTACTTCCAAATACAGGTGAAACGCGAAAAATTAGAATATCGTGCAAAAGTTCATTTATTTCAGTAATGCAACTTAAAAGGTGAAACTAATATATGAGATAGACTCATTACATGCAAAGCAAGATAGTTCAAGCCGTGATTTGTCATAATTGTGATGATTATGGCTTATAGCTCATGAAAACCCCAAATCCACAATCTCAGAAAATTAGAATATTACATGCAATCAATAAAACAAGGATTGTAGATAGAACAATATCGGACCTCTGAAAAGTAGAAGCATGCATATGTACTCAGTACTTGGTTTGGGCCCCTTTTGCAGCAATTACTGCCTTAATGTGGTGTGGCATGGAAGCTATCAGCCTGTGGCACTGCTGAGGTGTTATGGAAGACCAGGATGCTTCAAAAGCGGCCTTCAGCTCTTCTGCATTGTTCAGTCTCATGTCTCTCATCTTTCTCTTGGCAATGCCCCATAGATTCTCGATGGGGTTCAGGTCAGGCGAGTTTGCTGGCCAATCAAGCACAGTAATCATTGAACCAGGTTTTGGTGCTTTTGGCAGTGTGGGCAGGTGACAAGTCCTGCTGGAAAATGAAGTCAGCATCCCCATAAAGCTCATCTGTGGAAGGAAGCATGAAGTGCTCCAAAATCTCCTGGTAGATGGCTGCGTTGACGCTGGACTTAATGAAACACAGTGGACCAACACCAGCAGATGACATGGTTCCCCAAATCAACACAGACTGTGGAAACTTCACACTGGACTTCAAGCATCTTGCAGTGTGTGTTGCTCTCCATTCTTCCTGCATACTCTTGCATCTCATTTGGAAACCAAGGACCCAAAATTGCTCTTATCAGAAAAGAGGACTTTGGACCACTGAGCAACAGACCAGGTCTGTTTTTCTTTAGCCCAGGTAAGACGCTTCTGACGTTGTTTGTTGTTCAGGAGCGGCTTGACAAGAGGAATACGACATTTGAAGCCCATGTCCAGGATCCGTCTGTGTGTGGTGGCTCTTGATGCACTGACTTCAGCCTCAGTCCACTCCTTGTGAAAGTCCCCAACACTTTTAAATGGCCTTTTCCTGACAATCCTCTCCAGGCTGCGGTCATCCCTGCTGCTTGTGCACCTTTTTCTTCCACACTTTTCCCTTCCACATAACTTTCTATTAATGTGCTTTGATACAGCACTTTGGGAACATCCAACTTCTTTTTCAATTTTTTGAGGCTTTCCCACCTAATGTATGGTGTCAATGATGGTTTTCTGCACAACTGTCAGGTCAGCAGTCTTTCCCATGATTGTGATTCCTACTGAACCAGACTGAGAGACCATTTAAAGGCTCAGGAACCCTTTGCAGGTGTTATGGCTTAATTAGCTGATTAGAGTGGGACACTGAGCCTAGAATATTGCACCTTTTCACAATATTCTAATTTTCTGAGATTGTGGATTTGGGGTTTTCATGAGCTGTAAGCCATAATCATCACAATTATGCGACTTGAACTATCTTGCTTTGCATGTAATGAGTCTCTCTCATATATTAGTTTCACCTTTTAAATTGCATTACTGATAGAGATGAGTGAATCGAAGTAGGCGAAGTGGAATTCGTTTCGAATATTAGGAAAATTTCGATTCGCGCCGAATCCGAAAATAAGCAGACTTCGGATGCGCGAATTGAAATTTTTCCTAAAATGGCGGCGATATGTGCGGCGACGGAGCGGGGATGTTCTGGGAAGGCGCGCAGACAAGGCGCGCTGACCCATAATGCATTCATTCATGACATGTGATCGCATTAGCCAATCAGCAGCCAGCCAGCCAGCCAGCACTGTGTAATGGTCGAGCTATAAATGGCGGCCATTTTAGAATTCTCCATTTGCCTCCAGTCATTCAACATAGGCAGACCTGGCTGTATTCAGGGAGAGAGTTAGGGACACAGAAACGTTACTTAGGGACACAGAAACGTTAGTTAGGGACACAGAAACATTACTTAGGGACACAGAAACGTTACTTAGGGACACAGAGAAACGTTACTTAGGGCCACAGAAACTTTACTTAGGGACACAGAAACGTTACTTAGGGACACACAGTTACTTAGGGCCACAGAATCGTTACTTAGGGCCACAGAAACGTTACTTAGGGCCACAGAAACGTTACTAAGGGCC